GCCCGCCTCGTTAGCCCTCTCCTGTCTTCTGCCTCCTCGTTAGCGGCGCTCGTCCACCAATGATTTAAATATAATACTTAATTCAACGGCGCCCGTATTCAATGGGCGCAGCCGCGTCAACATTTGTTTCTCTCTGTTATTATTATTATTATTATTATTGTTATTATTGTTATTGTTGTTATTATTATTATCATCATCATCATCGTCGTCGAGTAAATCGTGTCCCGCGAGTCATATTAATGGCGCGTAGCGGTGCGAGCAACGATCAATCTCTTTGTCACAATTAAACGCATACGAGCATAGACCCATAGAAGAATAATTTATATCCACGGCTACCCACGTGAGTATCCCCCAGAACGTGTTCCCCTTTTCCACTTGGGGAGGAGAGGAGAGAGGAGAGATCGTTGGAGGATTAAGGTAAGGTGTTTGGGAAAATAATTTTTCCAAATTCGACTCGACTCGATTCGTTGAAATGGGAATGGTTCTCTTCTATGGTTTGGGATTGCGACGAAATCATTTCGATTACTACGAGAAGTGATGTAATAAGATGTAATAGAAAAATACGAGTTCTTTATTTCTATGTTTAATTGGCAGGAGGAAACTCTGGTACGTCCTTTCCTTGGAGTTTGATTAATGTTTTAAAACCTCGACACTGATCCAGCAAATAATTGCCTTCCAGATTAATTGTTTTTTGATGGACCCGCTGGTGTTTTATCCGCCTGTATTTATTTATATCCCCATAATCGAAAGACAAAATGGCGGACGCCGTTCCTCCCTCTCGTTCCCACAAACGAATAAATATTGTGATGAATCGTAATGAATCGACGAAACGATTTATTTCGAGAGAGAGAGAGAGAGAGAGAGAGATCCTTTAACCTTTCCTCGATCGAAGTAATCGAGCGAGTGGAGGAAAGGCACGCAGTGATCTTTCGCTCACCCGTTCGCCAACGTTTTATAATCGCGATCGTTTCTAATCCCGACTCTAATTTGCCATTGATTTATGAGAATTCAACCTCTTCTTCCCGTTCAACGCTCGCCTCACTCACGCCAAATGTATCGATGCGACTGAACTTGTCTTCTTCGCGTATTATATGTAATATGTATATATATGTATATATGTATATTGAGTTTGGAATCCATTTGCCTGCCTCCATTTTTCCGCAAGGAATTCCTGGGACGGTTCTAAGAGGATTGGGCTTTGTAAGTTGGCTCGAGAGTGAAATTATTCGAGAGTGGAATAATTTTTGCAAGGTTTAATGAAAAGTCGCCCGATCGATAATGCCGCGTTTCTCGGTCGGTACAATCGGTGATGATTGCACGTTCCCTTAATGGAACTTTTACATTTTTCGATCGTGCTCCGTTATTATCAACAATCCATGCTCCATCGGGTTTTAATTTTATTTATATGCCTATCCAGAGAAGGATTGTAAAAATTTCTCGACTGATTCCTCGAGAAAAAGAAAATCGTCGATGGAAAATTGAGAAAAAATATTTGTTTCGTCTCATTCGTTTCATTCAGGTGTAACTTTTTCGAGAAAGGGAATCTCTTTGATTTCGCAGCAATTGTTCACGAGTTATGTGAACTTTTTCGCACCAATCAATCGCACGCTCTTCCAAACTTGATGTGACGTTGTCTCTCTCTTTTGGAGATCACAACAAGGATGTCGTATAGTTATTCACCGGCTTGTTCACGAGGGACCCCTGCCTTTTATTTTTCCTGATAATCCATTTACCCTATGCATCTGGTCGTTTATTAGCGGCCGCGTTCCGATTCCGCGCGCATTAACGCGGATCTTTCGCTTTTCGAGGAGGGTTTCGAGGAAGCCCCAATTTGCTCCATCTAAATTTCATCCCCATCGCCTTCTTTCTTTCTTATCGATTGTATTGAAAATCTTCCTGCTCCTGCTC